AGGAAGGAAGGAAGGAAGGAAGGAAGGAAGGAAGGAAGGAAGGAAGGAAGGAAGGAAGGAAGGAAGGAAGGAAATAGCAATAACATTTAACACATATATCACTTCACAGTGCTTTACTGCCCTTTCTAAGCAGTTTTACAGAGTGAGCCTCTTGCCCCCAATAATCTGGCTCCTCATTTTACCCACCTCAGAAGGAGGGAAGGCTGAGTCAACCACGAGCCTGGTGAGATTTGAACTGCTGAACTGCAGCCAGCTGAAGTAGCCTGCAGTATTGCATTCTAAGCACTGTGCCCCCTTGACTCTGCACACACCCCTTCAAACTCACTTCAGATCCTGGCATGACAGCCAGCTACTCCCTCAGCTTTCAGAGCTGCTGGGTTTCAGCCTCTTGAAATGGACTGTCCTCACAGATACACCCTTTAATATGCTAACCCTGGTTAGTTTGTAGTTGGCTTGTTTGTTTTCTGGATTTAGAGTGTTGTATGACTGGCGTGTTCAGTTAGCTTTTAAAAAAAACCAAAGACCTATTGTGTCTTTCCAAGTAATGAGTTAATGTAATAAGCGAGTTAACTGTTGGGGAAATATGCATGATATCCGTGGGTGAAAAAACTTCAAACCTCTCAAAATGCTTTCGGTACAAAAGCCACACATATTTTGAACACACACAAAAATCCCTTCCAAAACATCACAATCTAGTGGTCTCCAATTTGGCAGCAGAGAAGGATTGTGCCTTCAACTGTTGCCAGGAGGGATCTATAGGGAAATGTGTAGCTGTCTCAGACTCATTATTGGAAAAAGAAATGTTTGCTAATCTTGATTTTTTAAAATAAAACAAAACACTAAAAGTCTGTTCAGCATCATGAACAGACTGTTTAATTTTATCTCAAATTTTGCATACCAATCCCTTCTTTTAAAAAATAAATAAATACTGAAACCTTTCACCATCAAACTATATGAATAACAGGCATTTGCTTCTGCTTCTTTGACGCAGAACCCATTGGGTTAGAAAGCATTCCTTGGTGGTAGGAAAGGATAAGGTTGTGAGTGAGTCTTTGTGATTTCCAGGTGAAGCCCAAGACGGTGCAGCCACATCTGGGGAAAATCAGAAAAATCTGGAGTGTACAGTAGTATAAAATACACTTTCCCCAAAAGATTTCCACAATTTTGGCCACTACTGTAGTCCCAACAAATAGAATGGGGGGGAGCAGGCCTTTGACTGCACAAGTGTACCCATATTCTTGCTTCTACCTCCATCCTCCTGGGAAACCCCAGCTTCCAAGGGCTCCACCTTGCTAAAGGGAAGGAAGCAGTCCTGCTCATACATTTTTAAATTCTGCCTGGGCCACAGCTTCACCCTGGGCTACGTGCAAATCATTTGAACATCAGTCATTAAGTAACAGCTAAAAGGAACAGCTCTTTCCTTTCTGTAAAATGAAATAAAATCCACCCTGAGCACTAACTGTATTCTGTGCACTCAATACGTAAATGTTGGACCCAAATCCCTCCTTTTGCACAGGTTGCTCTGTCACACTCGCTTGGTGTGCAAAATTCTTCCAGGGCTAGAAAGGAGGAAGCCCTGTGGGGAGCAATCTCCAAGGATTGCTTGAGAATTTTCAGAGTTGGTTTTTCAGGGGTTTCTCCTTGAAGGGAGTGAAAATTCTCAGGCTGGCTAGCAATGTATTTTCTAAGGCTTTTCTCTGCCAATGCAGCCTTCTGACAATAGATCTCTTGCAATGACTTCTGAAAAGATTAACAGATTAGCAGAGTTGGAAGGGACCTTGTAGCTCATCTAGGCGACCCCCCCCCCAAAAGCAGGAGACCCTACACCATTTCTGCCAGTCCAGTCTTTCTTGAAAGCCTCCAGTGATGAAGCTCTCACAACTTCTGAAAGCAACTTCTGTTCCATGGGTTCATTGCTCTCAGGAAATGTCTCCATAGTTCTAGGTTGCTACTCTCCTTGATTAGTTTCCGTTTATTGCTTCTTGTCCTGTTCTCAGGTGCTTTGGAGAATAGCTTGAACCCCCTCCTCTCTGTGGCAGCCCCTCCAATATTGGAAGACTGCTATCCTGTCTCCCCTGATCCTTCTCTTCACTAGACTAGCCATACCCAGTTCCTGCAACTGTTCTCCATGTTTTAGTCTCCAGGCCTTCAATCATCTTAGATAGGTTCAGATTAAGAGTTGGAAGGGACCTTGTAGGTCATCTAGTCCAACCCCCAATCCAAGCAGGAGATCCTATCTACACCATTTCTGATAGAGGGCAGTCCAGTCTTTCTTGAAAGCCTCCAGTGATGAAGCTCCCACAACTTCGGAAGGCAACTTCTGTTCCATGGGTTCATTGCTCTCACTGTCAGGAAATTCATCCTTATTTCCAGGTTGAATCTCTCCTTGTTCAGTTCCCATCCATTATTTTGTCTGGCCTTTGAGTGCCTTGGGAAACAGCTTGACCCCCTCCTCTCTGTGGCAGCCCCTCAAATATTGGAAGATGCTCTCATGTCTCCGCTGGTCCTTCTCTTCACTAGACTAGCCAGGCCAGTCTCTTCATCATCCTGGTTGCTCTTCTCTGCCTTTTTTCTAGAATCTCAACCTCTTTTTATTTCTTTTTTTTAAAAGCAAAGGCTTGGAGGAGGGCAATTTTGGGGATGGGTGGATCAAGGTTTACCCTACCCTCAAAGTGTGTGTCTGTGTGTGAGAGAGGGGGGGGGGAGACGAGACAGAGAGAGAGAACCCTGCTCTTTGCAGTTTGGCTCAGTTGACTTGATGGCCCCCGCCTCCAGCCCCCCTGACGGCTCTCCCTTCCTTCCCTCCCCAGAGAGCGACCACAAGGAGCGCGTCTCGGCCCCGAGCAGCACCCTGGAGAAGGCGCCGCAGCCTCTGCGCAAGGGGCCGGCGGTGGCGGCGGAGGAGGAGGAGGCGGGCGAGTACACCGTCTTGAAGGAGGGCCCGGCGGACGGCTGCGAGGCGCCCCTGCTCAAGTCCTCGGACAGCGAGCGCTCCTCCTGCGGCTCGGGCTCCGTCAGCGGCGCCCTATACGCCCGCATCGCGCGCCTCTCCAAGCAGTCCCGGGAGGAGGAAGAGGCCCCCGCGGCGGAGCCCAGGCCGCCCAAGCCGCCCTCCCCAGAGCGGGCCAAGCCGCCCCCGCCGGACCCCTCCACTAAGCCCAAAGTCTCCTGGATCCACCACAAGTACAACGCGGCCCAGAGCAACTCCCTGCCGGCCGCCGCCGAGCTGCAGGCGGAGCGCCGGCCCGGCCCCTCCAAGCGGAAGCGGAGCCCCGGCGAGGCCGCGCGGGCCAAGGAGAGGGCCCCCAAGCCCCCGCAGGAGCCCGGCAGCCCCGAGGGCCAGCCCGGCCTCGCTCAGGCCAGGCAGCGCAGCCGGACCGGACCGGAGCCCGCCGAGAACCTCAACGGTTCCCTGCACTCCGCGCTCAAGAGGATGGGGGCCCCGGCGGCGGCGGAGAGGCGGCCGGCCGAGGCGCTCCGGAGCCCCGCGCAGCCCAAAGCGCCGCCCGGCTTCTCCGAGGCCGCCACGCTGCTGGCCGCGCAGCTGAAGGAAAAGACACAGAGCCTTCAGCGGGGCGAGACGGCCGCGCGGCCCAACGGCGTGAGCCCTCTGCCGGCCCAGCGGGAGAAGCCGGCGCCCCCGCATAAGGCCAAGCAGTCGGCCGCCCCCGCCGGGCAAAAGGCCGGCAAGCCGTTGCTGCCCACCTCCGCCCCGCTGCAGAAACTGCTGGGGCCCGAGGCCAAGAGCGCGGAGAAGCAGAGCGCCGGCGGCAGCCCCGAGGCGACCCCCGCGCCCGGAGAGCCCGCGGCCAAGAAGACGCCCATCAAGAAGCCGCCGCGCAAGAAGGGCCGCGAGGGGGCCGCGGAGCCGCCCAAGGCAGCCGCCAGCTCCCCGCAGACTGTACAGTAGGGCAGGGGGAAGCCGAGGCCAGCGGAGACCCTGCGGCCTCTCTTTGGATGGGGTCCCCCTGGGATGGGCCGAGGGGCTTCCGGGGACCTGGCGCTGGCGCTGGGCTCTGGCAGGGAGGGGGTGAGGGTGGGGTTCCTTTAAACCAGCGCTATAACTGCTTCTCGACCTCCGCGGAGACTCTCGCAGGCCTGGGGGGGGGGGGTTGGGGTAGGGAGGGGTCTGAGACTGGGAGTCAGGCAGGACTCAGCAGAAGGTCCTTTTCTTGGAGGAGGGGTGGCTGCATTTCCCTCTGGGAAGCCTCTTGCCCCTTAAAGTGGGAGGCAGGCTTCACTTGTGGGGGGGAGCACAATCCCTGGGAAGTGAGTGCAGATTCTGCAGGAAGATGGGTGTGTGTGTGTTGGGGCTGCTGCTGGATCATCTGTGGGCTGGAATCAGAACAGACCTGATTTGGGCCAGTGGTGGAATACAAATTTTTTTGCTACTGGTTCTGTGGGCATTGCAGGGGAAGGATATGCCATTGCCACCCCATTCCAGGGGGAGGATGCAGCAAAATCTCCATTCTGGGGCCATTCTGGGGCCAGCCAGAGGTGGCATTTGTTGGTTCTCCGAACTATTCAAAATTTCCACTACAGGTTCTCCAGAAGCTGCTGGATTTCACCCCTGGATGGGACCCTTCCCAGGAGCCAGGCAGTGGGCTGTGAATTGCCGATGCAACAGCCTCCATCGTCCTCTTGGGAGCTGGGTGGGGGGCAGCAGTGAGGAGGCTTTGAATGGCTCCATCTGGTGCTTCCTCAAATAAAAGGATGGTATTTTTAGCTCTGCCTCATCTTTGGACTTCTGTTCCTGGTGACCTATTTGTCTCCCCCAGGTCTATCTTCCCCTCCTTAAGGCAGGGGGGCTCAGGATGAATTCAGCAGCTGACTCTATCATGGACAGCTGGCCAGAAGGAAACCGGTCTCCTCTCCTTGGATTTCTCAGGCGGGTTTCCTGGGGGTCTCTTTCGCGAGGACTAACAGGGGGGGGGGGGCGCACCCTGCTCCAGCCCTCAAGGCAGCTTGGGTTCTTGGCATCCTAGGAGAACCTTCTGGCTTGGGGTCAGCACTACAGCAGTGGCCAAAATTGTGGAAACCTTTTGGGAGAAGTGTACAGTAATTTTGAGGTTTGATGGCTGATAATAACCCCACTTTTTTTTAATAGTACCATAAAATTATATATCAATTTAATACTGAATGTAATGCAATAATTTTTATGAAGGATTTGTTATTAGAATAACAATTATAAAGAAAAAAAGTGAAACGTAGAAAAAAACGAGATATACAAAAATTATCACCGTAGAAAAAACAAGCTATACAAAAATTATCATTATGTCAGTTAATACTTAGTTGGGTAACCTTTAACATGAATTACGTCCTTACAATGTCTTCCCATGGAGTGAAATAAGTCTTTTAGCTCTGCAGTTGTTATAACGTGAAACCAAGATGGAATAGTTGCTTTTATTAACTAGGTTTTATTGCTGGCTATATTTGACTATATCTTTTCAAAAAATACAGATACTTGTTGCATTACATTCTTGATTAAATTATTTTTCCAATGATATATAATTTTATGGTACTACTCCAAAAATAAAAGTGGTGTTATTAGCCATCAAACCTCAAAAATACACTTTTCCCAAAAGGTTTCCACAATTTTGGCCACTACTGTAGGTCTTTTCAGTCCCGTTCTCCTGCTGTCTTCTGCCTTCTGCTGTCCTCCAGAATTGCTCTTCTTATCAGGACAATACATCTGGAAGACACCTCACTGGGGAAAGCTGACTATGGCTTGTGGGTAGGTTGGTTGCTGCCCATTAATTTCCTGTAATTCTCCAAATGAACATTGTGCCAGGAGATTATGGGAAATTTCAAAGAGCAACTAAGGTTCTCCCCACCCTAAAAGTGTTTCCGGCTTGGATGAAGTCGCCTTAAGGCCATACCTGGAATGCTGTATCCAGTTTTGGTCACCACATTAGAAAAAAGGATGTTGAGAGTTTGGAAAAAGTCCAGAGAAGAACAACTAGGATGATTGAAGGCCTGGAGACTAAAACATGAAGAACAGTTGCAGGAACTAGGTATGTTTAGAGAAAAGAAGGACCGGGGGGGGGGGGCGTGAGAGCAACATTCCAGTATATGAGGGGTTGCCACAAAGAGGAGGTCATCAAATTATTTTCAAAAAGCATCAGAGGGCAGGACAAGAAACAATGGATGGAAACTAATCAAGGAGAGAAGAAACATAGAACTAAGAAATTTCCTGACAGAACAATTAACCACTTTCCTCCAGGAGTTGTGAATGCGCCAACACTGGAGAGTTTTAAGAAGGGAGAGGACAACCATTTGTCTGGAATGGTATAGGCAGTGATGGCGAACCTTTTCAGCACGAAGTGCCCAAACATGCATGTGCTTGCGTGTGTGGGCACCGGAGCCCCAAAGACCAGCTGGCTGTGTGCACATGCCTGTTTTGGGGGCGTTGTCAGCCCCAAAAAACGGTCCAGAAATGGCCTGAAAAACAGCCTGTTTTTTTACCGTTTTCCAGCACTCTGGCACTTGCAAAGACCAGCTAGCCGGCATGTGCTGGAAACCAGAAAAACAGCTGGCAATGGCACACATGCCCACAGAGAAGGCTCTGGGTGCCACCTCTGGCACGCGTACCATAGGTTCACCATCACAGGTATACATTTTCCTGCCTGAGCAGGGGTTGGACTAGAAAACTTCCAAGGTCCCTTCCAGCTCTATTCTGATTGATATCTGAAGAACAGTTGCAGGAATGTGGATATGTCTAGTCCTAACCCTAACCCTTCCAGGAAGAAGACCTGGAAGAGGTCTTCTTAGTCTGTTAAATCTATAATCTCTCTGTGTCTCTCTGTCTCTGTCTCTCTCTGTCTGTCTCTGTCTCTTTCAAACTATGATATGTCTCTGTTTCAGGAACATTGAGGAAGGCATTGAAGGGAGAATAAATAAAACAAGATTACAGCCATACATAAAAAGTTTGACTGCATAGCTGTGGACTCCATCTTGACTTTTTTGACCAACTCCCTGTGCTCCTTCTCTTTTTATAGGTGACATCAATCAGAGTTTTGAAATATGCCACAGACCATTTTGCAGATACACATCTCTCTTAACCATAGTCCATGGCAGAAAGTGCATCCGCCTTCCTGTTAAAAGTACAGATGTAAGTGTTGTTGAGCTTCCAGCACCCAGCTTTCCAGCTGGCAAAGGACACTGCAGCTCCTCAGTCAATGGGCAGCTGGATGTTTAAGGAAAGGAATATGTTGTGAATTTAGGCAATCCTGTGGAGCTTCAGTAAATTTAACAATACTGGCGATGCCAGGCCAAAAATGGGAACTCCATATAGCACTTAGCACTTAGATTTGTATACCGCTTCACAGTGCTTTACAGCCAATTGCCCCCAATAGTCAGCCTCTTGCCCCCAACAATCAGGGCCCTCATTTTACCCAATTCAGAAGGATGGAAGGCTGAGTCAACCTTGAGCCTGGTTGAGGTTTGAACTGCCAAATTGCAGGCAGACGGCAGACAGCAGAAGTAGCCTGCAATACTGCATTCTAACCACTGCGGCTCATATGCTGTAAAAAATCAAGCCACAATACAAGGAATAATATACCTCTAGAAATTCTCAGTCATCCCGGTCATGGTTATCCAAAGGGAGCTTTTCAAAAGGCAACTGGACATTGCCTGGTTTTTTTCCCTTGAAGACATTTCGCTTCTCATCTAAGCAGCTTTTTCAGTTCTGAAGAAGTGAGAACTGAAGATGCTTCTCGGATGAGAAGCTAAATGTCTTGAAGGGGGGGAAAAAACAAAAGAACTCCAGTTACCTTTAGAAACTCACTTTTTGGACAAGGAACAATATAATTTAAAAACCAGTCCAAGGATAAACAATCACACCAATAACGATAGGGATTTTCCTGTAGTGCATAATCACCAAAAGACATCCAGAAAAAACTGGCTCTTAACTACCCTCACTTTTATTGACACCAGTGTGTTTCTAATCTGCCATAGCCAACGTTCCCGGGATGATTTAAATGTCATTAAAACCTTTACATTTTTTTTTGGAAAAGGAAAGAGCAGGCATTTGGTCACAACACTGACATGATATATGACTTGGGAAGAAGAACCTACCTCCAAGGCTTGCCAGCGTTTGACCTCAAACTGCAGCAAATGAGCAGAAATGCCAGAGAGAAGATGGCAGCTTCCTCCAGCTGGTTAAGTTGCTGGGAGAATTGCAATAGCACTTTCAATAGCACTTAGACTTACTGTATTTTTCGGAGTATATGATGCACCTTCCCCCCCACAAAAGAGGGTGAAAATCAGTGCATCTTATACACTGAATACAGCATTTTTGGCATCCCGAAACCACACCCTGCAAAAATGGACGCGCAGAGGGTTTGGGAGGCCTGTAGAGTGTTCCTGGAGTCTGGGGAGCGCAAAAATGAGTGAAAGCGGGCCCATTTTTCACAAAAAGGGGTGTTTTTGCCCTCCCCAGCCCCTAGGAGCGTTCTGTAGGCCTTCCAAACCCTCTGCATGGTCTGTTTTGCAAAAAACAGGCCCATTTTTTGCTTGTTTTTGCCCTCCCCAGCCCATAGGAGCACTCTACAGGCCTCCCCAACCCTTTGCACACCCCGTTTTTGCAAAAAAAACCAGCCCCCCCCCCCCACACACAAACACACCGTGCAGAGGGTTTGGGAGGCCTGCAAAATGCTCCTGGGAGCCGGGGAGGGAAAAAGCTTTTTTTAAAAAAATTTACCTCTTCCAAATCTTGGTGCATCTTATATTCTGGTTCATCTTATAGTCTGGAAAATATGGTATATACCGCTTCACAGTGCTTTTTACAGCCCCCTCTAAGCGGTTTACAGAGTCAGTCTATGGCCCCCAACAATCTGGGTCCTCATTTTACCCACTTCAGAAGAAGGGAAGGCTGAGTCAACCTTGAGCCTGATGAGATTTGAACTGCCA